CCGTCTCTGTCTGTGTCTTCCCTTGAAAGCCCTATGGGGCCACCATCAGAAAGCTGCAGCTTGACCGCACTTCCCACCATCGCCACCCCGCAGGCCTTTATCAGACAGTGGAGTGGTGCATCAGAATGGAACTGGGACGCTGTCTGTTGAATGGGGGAGGCCTCTCGACTTCAATGGCACGGTGTCTGCAGACAACCTCCACGTCCAGTCCCTGTATTTCCTATTTAAAAGGATCAGGTAGTAGGTGATGGGAGACACACACCCCCACCTAAGATGGTGGGGATCACTGTCTGTCAGAGTGGATGATATTCACTTTGAATCCGTCTCTGATAGATCAATGGTCTGACTTAAAATCATAGAATCTCAGAGTTGGAAGGGGCCATAGAGGTCATCTAGTCCAACCCCCTGCTCAATGCAGGATCAGCCTACAGTATCCCTGACAAGTGTTCGTCCAGACACTGCTTAAAGACTGCTAGTGAGGGGGAGCTCACCGCCTCCCTAGGCAGCTGATTCCACTGTTGCACAACTCTTACTGTAAAAAAGTTTTTTCTAATATCCAGCCGGTACTTTCCCGCCCTTAATTTAAACCCATTCTTGCGAGTCCTCTCCTCTGCTGCCAACAGGAGCAGCTCCCTGCCCTCCTCCAAGTGACAGCCCTTCAGATACTTCAAGAGAGCCATCCTGTCCCCCCTCAACCTCCTCTTCTCCAGTCTGAACGTTCCCAAGTCCCTCAGCCTTTCCTCACAGGGCTTGGTCTCCAGTCCCCCGATCATCCTTGTCGCTCTTCTCTGCACATGCTCCATTCTGTCCGCATCCTTTTTGAAGTCAGGCCTCCAGAACCACACACAATACTCCTGGTGCGGCCTGACCAATGCCGTGTACAGCGGGACTATGACATCTTGTGATTTGGATGTTATGCCTCTGTTGATACACCCCAGGATCGCGCTAGCCTTTTTGTCTTAGTATAAGCTACTTTGTGTGTGTATAAGGAGACACAAAACAAGTCATAATTCATTAAAATCCTCAAAGGCACTGACTGGCCTGCAAGAGGACCACTTTGAGGAGATAAAAGGTCCAGGGCCAGGAACACACACACATCCATTGTGCAGAGCAGCTGATCAGCAAGCCCTGTTGCCACAGATACCAATCCCTACGCATACTTCTCTTGCCTCTGGGGGGGCAACTGCAGTGTGCCAAGTGGTATTCCATAAGTCACTTGCTACAGCCCTGAGACCTCCAGTTGCCGGCCCTTTCCTTTATACTGGAAGGGCAAACTAGAAAATTGTAAGACTATGTACAGACACAGTTTGAATACTATATGGCAGGTAAAAGCCAAAAGCATGTTATTCGGAGAAAAATTGCCCTAAAACATCACACAGTAGCACTCTGATTTGTGTGTATGCAGTGTGTTTTGAATTCTCATGCTGTGCCCTTTTTTTAGCACAAAACAAGGCAAGTCTTAATACAGCTGGTTAGATCTATGTATTTTTACTGTGAACACATATAATCAATAATTTTAAACTCTGTTAAAGCGTACGTTGGTACAGAGGGAAACACCCCCCCCCCACATACAAGCCATGTAATACCTGCAGATATTAAGCACTCTTGTTTATTAAGCAGCCTATAATATCCCAGCGTATACTGAGTTCATCAGAGCTTGGGAGCTAAGCAGGGTCAGCCACAGTCAGTACTTCGATGGAAGACCACCGAGGAAGATTGGGGTTGCCATGCAGAGGCAAGCGATGGCAAATCATCCCTCCTGATCTCTTGGCTGGAGTGCCCCATGGATGGGTTCACCGTGAGTTGGTTGTGGCTCGACAGCATTTTCTTCTTTATTAAAGTTGAGACTCTGATCTGGATCTTACAGTACAACTGTGAGTTCAAGTCAGTCTGATTCATTGTGAGTAGAGCAAGCTCTGAGCAGCGGTGGTAAAAGGAAGGGATATTCGTATGAAAGTGGAGTGTGAGGCCGGTTACTGTTGCCTGTGCGTTCCAGGATTGTGTCTGCGTTCTTGTCCCCCTTGAGCTTCCTTCCAGATTTAATGGGTGGTACTGAATTCTCATATTGTGAGAGAAGAAAGGCGAAAAGATTTATCCCTCTACAATGTTCATAGTCTTTTAAATCTGGATGGTGTCCATCCTTACCTGGATTTTTGAAATGGAAAAATGACAGTTCAGTATTTTTGGAAGGAATTGGCTTGAGCCCCTTGGGTGATTTAGTTGTTTTTCCGTACTTGTTTTCGTTGTGTGATACTTATTAAGAGCAGGTGACTGGAAATGCATGCAGTTTTCCAAAGCGACATTATGGAATTATGTAAAAGCGCTATGATTGTTGCTTTTTTAAGTGTCTTTCAGCCCATTGCTCTCCTTAATAATTCCTAAGGTTAAATGTACTTTCTCTGTTACCATGACCCACTTCGTCTTAATTTTTCAGTGAGCTATCCGTCCTGACCCCCACAT